CAGAGCTTCATCTATGGGGTTCGAGAGGGAGAGAGAGGGTCTCTCTAGGGCCCAGGAGAGCAGCCTGATGATAAAAGCCCTACCTAGGGGCAGGGGCGCATGGAGAGGGGACTGGCAGTATTTCACCCGGAAAAGAGCCCTGTCTCAGAGGCACCATCCTTGGTCCGTGTCTCTGACCAGGACCTGCACTGACATTGCCTTTCCCTGGGAAAAGGGTCATGACGGGAAAGTCCAGAAACCATTTGACCTCTGCTGCCCAGAATATGGTGTGTTTTTCCCTCCAAGTTTTGCATTCCGGTAGACCTTTCTGTGCTGGTGGAAGTGCTCTACATACTGTTCAACATGGTGGCATGGACCATGTGTGGCTGCCGAGCACCAAAATGTGACGTGTGATGGAGAAACTGAATTTTTTATTTTTTTTATTAATTTTTATTTATTTATTTATTTATTTATACAAGCACTGGGTACAGTCAGAAGTGCGGGAGGGTGAGAGGATTCACCAGAGCCAGAGTGGGGAGCAGAGCAGGCAGAAGGACCGAAGTACACTGCTGAGGGGAGCAGCGGGCGCAGGAGAGGTCTGCGCACCATGTGGGACCCTCCTCCGATGGCTGGGGAGCAGCTGGGGATCAAACCGGCGCCGCAGAGGCCGCGGGCAGCTTCGCAACCCAGCGCTCAACCACTGCGCCAGCGGGGAGGCCCGAGAAACTGAATTTTAAATTGTATTTAATTTTAGTCAATTTCAGTATAAATAGCCGCACACAGTTCCTGGCCACAGTATCAGACTGTGTTGGCAGCACAGTTTGGGAGAGTGCAAAGCATTGATACTTCCATGTCCACAACAATCTGTTGAGACTCACAACTCTTTGAAGCAGGAGCTAACAGCCCATTTTATGGATGAGGCGACTGAGGCCCCGGTTGAGGTATCTCAGTGAGATGAGAGGCACCCGAGGTCACACAGCTGGGATGTGGTCGAGCTGGGTCAAATCAGATCCCCAGCCCCATGTTCCTCCTGCTACCAAGTAGCTGATCGCAGAGGCTCAGGACAGATGGTGGGAACTGCCCAGAGGGTGAGAGATGTTTCCAGAATCTCCCTCAGGCCTGTCTATTCCGAGTTGGGTCTCTTCCCAAAGGTAGGACTTTTGTGTGGAAAATCTGAGCAAACTTCTGCTTGGCTATTTTGGAGCAGAGTAAAGGTAGAAGGGGCACAGCCAAAGGTAGTGGTGGGGGTGTTAGGGGGCCTGATGCCATCTGTTTCTTACTTTCAAAGAAATTTCAGGAGTTTTCTTTTTTTATTCCCCTCTCCTTTGGCATCCTGCTAACTCCCAGAGCTGAACTCCCAAAGCTGAAACTTTCCACATGTCCACAATCCTCAGTGAGGAAGAGAGTGCCAGAGGGTGTGGAGAAGAAAGGGCCGGGAGGAGCAGGCACTGGGAATGGTGGCTGGAAACAGCGTTACCTTCGGTTGCCTGGGGATGCCGGGGGTGGGGTGGGGTGGGGTGTCCTGTCCAGGGAAGGTCTGGCTTCCCCCTCCAATTCCTTGACGCCTCCTCTCTGCTCAGAATAACATGTTCAAACACTGCAGTGAGAACATTGCTGTTGGGTGACACACGAGAAAACAACACGAGAGAGGATGTAAGGGAAGTCGCCGAGGGCTGGGGCAAAGGCTTTTGAAACCTGAAACTTGGCACATCTGGACTCCGCGATGCCAGGCACGGTTGACCCAGGAAGGTTATCTTCCCGAGCGGGTGTTTTCTACCAACGAATCCAGCTAGCTTGGAAGTCTTTTAGAACTTTTATTTACCACGATATTATATGCATTTGTAATGTCATTTTTATAGTTTCCTCCCCAACCACTCATTTCCCATGAGCTATAATTTGTACCAGCTACAGTTCACCAACCCTGGTCCTGAGTGAGGCCCAACTGCCTGTGTGGTGAGGGGCTCCGTGGCTGTGAAAGCCCATCTCGGGGAGAGCACCCTCCATGCAGGGGCCCGTCTTGCTGTCTGTATCCCTGGCACCCCATCTGACCAAGAGAAGGGGTGCTCACTCAGTGTTGGCAGAATGTATTAGCAAATAAGGCAGAATCCCAAAAAATGAGGCACAGGGACTTGGTGGGCAGGACTTGGGGTCTTTCTTGGGTTTCTAGAAAGTGGGAGAGCTCATGGTTAAAGACTGGGCCATCCTCAGGACCCCAGAGTGGGAGGTGGAAGCTGGGCTGGTTTGGAAAATGGAAGTGACACCCAGGCTGGACAGCTGCACGAGCCTCCTCTCACCCCTGCCAGGTCTGGGTTTCTGCTGACAGAGAGCTCTGGATGCCAGGGAACAAGGGGTGATGCTGTGCTCCTGGTCCACCTGGGCAACCTCTCAGGTCTTCTTTTCAGCTCCCTGCCTAACAGAAACTGGAGCTGAGACCTGGCCTCAGACTACCTGCTTCCCCAGTGATCTCTGGCCCTGCTTTAGCTTCAGGGAAACCTTCCCTGACTTCCCCTCAACCGTTTCTTAGCCTGGGCTAGAAGTCTGGCCATCACAGCACTTGATCAGTGTCCTGACTTCCCTCTGAAACATACATTCCCTACATCAAACCTCACACCCAGGGCATGCTCTGCGCAGGTCCAGTGAATGAATGTGTGAGTAGGTAAACAGTTTTCCTCATCGTCTAAGATTTACTGTGTGGGCTTTGGAGAGGTTTGGGGTCCTGAGGTCTCCATCTGGGCACGTGCAGCTTTCCAGAGCAGGGTTCCCAAGGTACAGTTGGTGGTTGCCTTGACGCCAACAGATCTCTTTCCTATCATCATCAGTTCCAGGCCAAAGTTCAGAGATGGTGGGGAGGGAGAACCATCCCAGGCCTGCTGGGAGGTGGTGGGGTGAAAAGAGCCTAGGCTCTTCAATCAAATGGCTGTATTTGAATCCTGGATCCACACTGACTACCTGGGGGCCCTCAGTGAGTCTCTTCACCTCTCTGAGTTTCAGAGGTGTTATTTGTAAATTGAGAATCAAATCACATTTGCTGCACATGATTTCTATCCGATTAAATGACAGTGCATGCAAAGCCCGTGTGTCTGGCGTACTGTCAGCACTCGGTCGATAGTCGCGATCTTATTAATGGAAATAATTAATAATAATCATGTCATTGTTAGGCATACAGCAGGAGCTAAGGATGCAGAGAGGTAAGGGACAGTCACTATGCTTAGAGGGACTGACCATGTTTTGGGGGAACTGAGACACAGGCACCATGGCACTGTGGCCATGCCCAATGAGTGGCCTGCCCGGTGACTGCTAGTGCTAGTTGTTCAAAGGAGGGGGCACTGCTGGAGGTGGTTGTCAGGGATGCAGAGGGCCTTTGAGGGAGTAGAGAATTCCAGGGAGAGGTCACCGCACCCACCAAGGTGGAAGGAGGAAAAAGTCATGGCCAGCAGGCCAGTTTGGCTGGAGCAGGCTGACTTAGAAGAAATGTGAGAGAAGATTCAAACTTGTTACAGAGGGTTCGGTGCCAGCCTGTGGACATGAATCCTGGGGGCACCTGAGAGCACTGAGCACCTCTGAGGGGGGAGGCTTTTGGAGAGATTTACCAGGCTGGCCCCTGCTCTGGATTCTAGGCCTGTTCTCATCTCAGGAAGTTCCAGGCTCCTGGTCTGGGCCTTGGGGCCTGGTGTTTCACAGCACACAGAACAACTGAGGCTGACCTGGGGGCCTTGGTAACCTGCCTCTGCTCCTCTCATTGAGCTCCAGTTCTGTCCCCTCCATCACCAGGTCCCAACCTGCCTAGAACTCTGGCATCTCCCCAAACACGCCACATTACTTCTAACCTCCAGAACTTTGCAGTTGTCTCTCCCTTTGCCTGGAAGACTGTACCTGAATATTTGCCTGTCATCCTTGGCACCTGTCACATCATGCTCCTCAGAGAGCCCTGCCCTGCCCAGCATTTCTAAGTGTCAGCTCAGGCATAGTACACCCTGCATCACCTTGTGTGTTGTCTTTATAGCTCATGATACTGCCTGAAATGACATTAGATGTTTGTTTTCCTGTTCCTTGGGGGTCTCCTCTACTCTGCTGTAAACACCATGTGGGCAAAAGGCAGCACATAGTAGGGACTCAGCAAATATTTGTTGAATGAATAAGTGACAGATGGAGGAGACATCAAGTTTAGTGGGCCCCTGCTCTCCTGGGTCCCGACCCCTGTGTGCAACCCTCCTAGGGCCCTGGTCACTGAAGTTATCTCCAGATTTTGCAAGGCAGTGAAGGGTAGTGAAGAGAGAGGTCACAGCCCTGGTGGCTGGTGGTTGCTGCTCAGTGCTGGCTTAGAGGAAGAGGCCCCTGTCCCCCCTTTTTGCCCTCAGTCTGAACCCAGGCTCCAGGAGGCAGAATCTTCCAGCTCCCAGTCCACCATTGGCTGAAGATGGATGCTTGAGAGCAGAAGCTCTTAGAAGGGGAAGAAGAGGAGAGAAGGTTATGCCTTCAAGGCACCCTTGGGGTCCCAACCTCCTCAGCCTACCCTGAATGTGACTCATGTGACTCACTCAGCCCACCCTGAGTGGAAACTGAGGCTCACTGAGGTCCAGATCACACAGCTTGGGAAAGACAAAAACCCCAGAGACTCAGACCCTGCAACTTTCTGGCCAAGGTTGAGCCCTTTCTTATAAAAGATTCATTCATGCATGCACTCAATATTTATTGAGAATCTCCTGTGACAGTCTCTGCCCAAATCCTGGGGCTACAGGAGGGAAAGAAACAAAATATCCTCCCTCCTGGGACTGCCATTCTGGTAGGAGAGGCAGACAACAAAGCCTGGACGTTTGTCCAGTTCAACTCGAATGTGTTCTGCGGGCTGGGGTGTGAGCCATGTCACACCTCTGGTTGCTCAGTCTCTCGTCTGTTGTCCCAGGTGACAGGTGCTCCTTCTCCCTGAGACCTAGGGGCGAGCATAGCCAGGGAGCCTTCCAGGCCGGGGGCTGGCCTCCTGCTGACAGGGCCCCGCGCTCACCCCCTCCTGTCTCCCCCAGCTGTGTGCCAGCCGCCCTGCCAGAACAGGGGCTCCTGCAGCCGGCCCCAGCTCTGTGTGTGCCGCTCCGGCTTCCGTGGAGCCCGCTGTGAGGAGGTCATCCCTGAGGAGGAATTTGACCCCCAGAACTCCAGACCAGCACCCCGACGCTCAGCCGAGGGTCCACCCAACCTGCGCAGGAGCAGCACAGCCAGGGAAAGAAGTGGGGCCAGAACACGACCACTGGCACCACAGCTGCCCAGGTAAGCCCCCCTCTGCGGTGGGCCCTGTGTCCAAGGCCCAGCCTCTGGGGGGATGGCGGGGGAGTGCGTCTTCCTTCAGACCAGATGGTGAAGACCTCGGTAGAGGTCTTCCTTCCCTTCTCCTGCCCCTCCTCCTCTCTCCCCCTGCGCTTGCCACTGTTGTGAGCAGGAGAGCAGGGGTGGGGTTGGTGCAGGCTTTGCTGGGCTTGGGTGGACAGGGAAGGTGGGAGCTGAAGTCTTTACCCTCCAGGCCCTGGGAGAAAGCCAAGGTATCCCCGGGTGTTGCCACATCCTAGGTGGGTAGCCTGAGGCAAGTTACTTACCTATCTGAGTCAGCCTCTGTACAGTGGGCATGGTGATGCATCACTGTGGTGGTCTTCGTCAGGACCGGGTTAGCTGATAGGAGGAAACACTTCAAACAGTGCCTGGCACATGGCGGACTCTTTATAAATATTTCTCCTCTCTCTGCACAAGGTCTTTGTGTTGCAGGAAGGACCCCCCACCACCACTTTCGCCGCTGCCAGGAAAAGCCCCTCTATCTACTCTCTCTCCAGCGGGAACCTCTCTCCTTGGAGGGACGAGAAGGAGCACGTGGGGAAAGGGAACAGAATATCCAGCGGGCAAGTGGCGTGTCCGCTGGCAGGATTCCCTGCCTGCCTGCCAGACAACCTGGCCAGACTTTTTCTAGCTCAGGACAGGAAGTCTGAACTTTGTAAACGGGTGCATTTCTAGGGGGCTGTTTTCCTTTTGATTTTTAAGGTTAGTTTTTCCATTTGCTCCCTATTTAGCATGTTCTTTCTGAAATGTTGTAACCTTGTCTTGCTGAACTAAGGGGAAAAGGACTTACTCTCCTGGAGGCCAGAAAGAACCAGGGAGAGCAGAGTGACCTGAGGTCAGGCTCCTCTAAGAAAGCTCAGGACAAAAGGGGGAAAAACTAGAGGTTGTTGAACAATTATGAAGTTGAGGCGTGGGGTGGGAGGTGTGCCGTGGAGACCAGGCCTCTTGGTAAAGGACTTTTTTCCAGGGCCCTACCACCCAAGCAGGCATTTTCCAAGAGCAGCCAGGAGCAGAAAGACTGGAAAGATGAATTCAGGGTGGGGCTTAGGGAATGCCAAGTTTAAAACCAGAAGAACCAAACCCTGAAGCAAGGCCCAGGGGTGCTGGGCAGAGAGAGGGGCAGTTACGTGGCCAGGAGGACAATACAGGGGGCAGGGTGGATGGCTGTGAGCAGGTGGGCAAGGCCTGAGTCCCAGCTGTGGGTTCCACATAGGGGGACCTGGTGGAAAGTCACCTGGAAGAGCCCCAGATGTGCCAACTCCAGGGCCAGCCAGAGGCAGAGTAGAAGCAGAATCCTTCCAGCCAGACTTTCCTCCTCAAGGCTCTCTTTTGGCTTGTGGATTTAGTCCTTTTATAATGCATTGATCCTGTATGTGTGTGCATGTGTGTGTGCGTGTTGTGCATGTACGCATGTGCTCACGCACACTTGTGGGGGTGTTAGGAGTGGTTGCTTGGCAGGTCACTCTGCTCCCGTATCCTTGAGCCAGTTATTTGACCTGTCTTGTTCCGTCTCCCCAGCCCAACCCAGTCCTCCTGTTTTCCAAGGCCCAGTACCATTTCCTCCATTGTCTCCTCTGATCACTTCTACCCGCTGGCTATCTGAGGCCCTGCGGTCTATGACCTTTGCCTGCAGTTAGACCGTGTGGCCTGCACCCTGGAAGGCAGCAATGACATCTCACACTCTGCATGTTCCCACAGCTGCTCCCGCCCCCCTCCTGGCTTACAGAAAGTCTGCATTTGCTCTCTGTCACTCCAGCCAAACTGAAAAGTTAGTCTATCAAAGGGCCCACACGGCATTGACCCCTCAACCTGTACCTGGAACCAGGGGCTGCTCAGAATGCAAGAGGAGGTGAGGCTCATGCTTCCGCAGTGCAGCGCTTGTCACTCTGCGTTGGGCAACCTGAGTGCAGGGAGGCCGCCTGCTTGTTCATGAATGTCCCTGGTACCTAATGCCATGCCTGCCTCGCTGCAGGGACTCAGGCAACATGAGTGGCATGACTAAACAAATGAGGCTAGAGACAGGAAAGAAGAGGGTGCTTGGAGAGAAGGAAGATGCATGAGAGGCAGGAGGGCCCAGGGTGAGTCTCCAGCGCCCTGCAGGGCCATGCTTTTTCAGCATCACTGGCTCCCTGGCCAGGGGCTACTGTGATGTTTTTAATGAGCTGCAGTGTCCAGGCCAGCCAAGGCTCTCTCTCTGCCCTGGGGCCTCGGTGCCATGAAATCTGGGAACGTCCGAGTGTCCGCAAGGTCGGTCCAGCTGTGTTTTGCTTTGGGAGGCCAAATCCCACTTGCCTGGTGGTGTCAGACATTTCCTGTGAGCTTGGCCAGATTTCCCGAGCTGCTGCTGGCCTCTCTCCTGATAGCAGCTTGGACAGGCCCCGCGTGTCCAGATAGAAGGAGTGACATGAACGCAGGGGCATTCTAGGAGCAGGAGGGGGTGCAAAAAGTCTCCAGAAGGGAGACACTGCAGGGATTGGTCATGGCCAGAGGCGCCTTTAGGAAAGCACTAGACAGAGGCCAAGAGACTTGTGTCCCAGAAGGAAGGCGAGGGAGGGGCCAGGAGAGCCTCGGCAGCAAGCCGCACCTCTGGAGAGAGCCAGACCTGGGCCGGTGCTGCCCAGCTGCGGCCTGGGCTGGCTGACTCTGAGCCCAGCTCCAGGACTCTTCCCTAAAGTCCTGCAGAGCCTGCCCTACCTGGGGAGCAAGAGCCAGAGTGCAGGGGAAGGACCTTTAGAGACTGGGGCCAGCAGTGCCTCTCAAACGGCAGTGAGCATGTGATTGCCTGGGAAGATTTAGGGTGTCTAACATGGACTCAGGTGAGGCTGCTGTTGCTGAGCCATAAGCCACATCTTGAGCCAGTAAGGGTCTGAGTCTGGGTCTTGGATTCAGACAATCCAGGGGTCCAGGTCAGGATTTACCACTCCCCAGCTGTGTGACAATAGGCAGGTGTCCTGACCTCTCTGAGTCACTTGTTTCCACCTGACTGGATTGCAGAGAGGCCAATAAGACCATGTGAGGAGAGCACTTAAGTTTGGTGCCTGCTAGGAGTTAGTGCTCAAGACCTGTCAGCCATTAGTGGGCTGGCTCTCATTCCATGGCGACTGGGGTAGACAGGAGACTGTGGCAAAAAGCAGACAGACAGAAGCCCAGGGCGCAGGCATGAGTATATGTCTCTGTGTGTGCACATCTCTCTGGGAAGAGTCAGGCTCCAGTCCTAGCCTCCGGGGAGTCGTGACTCACAGGTCCAGCAGTGCCACCCCTAGTGGTTTTGGCTGGCTGATTTGTTCCACCAGGACCATTCTCACCAGTGCCACAGGAGAGAGGGGGCTTTGTGAGGGAAGGTCCCAAGATGAAAATGCAGACATTGTACAAAAATGAATAATGATGTAACAAAAAAAAAAAAAAAGAGGGACGGTCACAGCATTTCTTAGAATAGGAGAGGTTGCCCCTGGGTTTGCTCCTTAGCCTGGCCTGAGGACCGAGAGGCTGGACTTCCTAGGATGGGGGACATCCTGGCTTGGTCAGTACTAGGGCAAGTAGGGACCTGGAGGACAAGTAAGGCAAGCGGGGTTGGCAGGGAGGTATCTGGGAAGCTGGGGGTCCCATAGTAGGGGTGCCCCTCTGTATTTATTTTCTATGGCGGTGGTAAAAAAAAATCATCACAAATTTAGCAGCTTAAAACCACGCACATGTATTATCCTGCCATTTGTTGGTCAAACCTCCCGCATGGGTCTCACCAGGCTAAAGTCAAGGTGTCACCGGGCTGAGGTCCTGGAAGCCCTGGAGGAGATTGTGAATCTCTGCCTCTCTGGCTGAATCTCTCTATCTGATTCTTCTGTCTTCTTACATTTTTGGGAGCCTATATGTTTATACTAGACACACCCCTATAATCCATGACAGTCTCCCTATGTTAAGGTCAGCTGATTAGCAATCACAATTTCCTTTTGCCATTTAATGTCGCATAGTCAAAGGCATGACACCAGAGGACAAGATCATGGGGAACAACCACACCCACCCACTGCAGCTCATTCTAGCCAGAATGCTACCTCTTATCAAAGGCTTGCCATGAGAGTGACCCCCCAAACTTTCTGATATCTCTGATGTCCTGGTCCCTAAGTCTCTCTGACATCTCTGATACCAGTTCTCATCGTTTGCCCTCCTCACCCACCCTGCTTCTGCCACACCAGTCAATTGACCTATCTTCAAATGTCTCTAGATGCTCTCACCCCAGGGCCTTTGCACTTGCTCTCTCCTTCTGCCTGGAACACTGCATTAGTTTTCTAGTGTTGTCATAACAAATGACCACAGACTGAGTGACTTAAAACTGAAGAATTTATTCTCTCATAGTTCAGGAGGTGAGAAGTCCAAAATCAAGCTGTTGGTGGGGTGAGTCTCTTCTGGAGGCTCTGAGGGGGAATCAGTTCCATGTCTCCTGGCATCTGGTGGTACCTGCAATCTTTGGGGTCCCCTGATTGTGTATCGCTTCATCACTCTAACCTCTGCCTCTGCTGTCACATGGCCTCCTCTCCCCCCTTATGAGTACACCAGTCAGTCATTGCACGTCAGGTCCACACCAGTTCAGTGTGAGCTCATCTAAACTAGTTACATGTGGAAAGACCCTGTCACTCTCTTTCCCAGTAAGGTCACATTCACAGATCCGGGGCAGGGTGGGGGGTTAGGACTACCATTTTAGGGGGAACATCATTCAATCCACATCGACACCTTTCCCAGGCACTCAGGTGGTTTTCCTCCTGCCCCGTTCAGGTCTTCCCTCCTCGGTGGGGCCCTCCATGTTCACCCCACTTAAAACCGCACACCCCCAAACATGCCCATGCTCTGCCCAGTTATTTTTCTCTGTAACAGTGATGTTTTACATATTTTACTTATTTCTTTGATTTATTATTGTTGTTCTTACCCCCGTAAATGTCAAGTCCAGGAAGCAG